TCCCTACAGTGGCTTTAAACAGAACAAATACTTGTTTTCCCTTGTTGGAGGTTGGATTTGCAAATCAGCCTAGGGGTGCTTGAATCTCGCTACTGAGATACGCATGTGAGGAAAATTTCAGGGGAATTCAACCCTCGGTTGAGCTATAGTTTTGGTCTGACCTGTATGTAATTGCAAATTTCTTGCAGTCAAATTTTAAAAAGCACCTAAAAAGCACTTTCAGAATTGACACAGGCACTATGGATGCTAACAGCAAGTCATTGAAACCTGTAAAATCATCTAAAAAGGTAGATACTTCTTGGGATTTTCATAAACATCTGTGCAGATTAAGTACCTGACTTCCAGTTCACTCGTAAGCCTGGGCACCCTACACAGCGTTTTGCAAATTTGGGCTATTGTCCCACACTGTGACCTCATTGCCCGAAGTCGGTCATACCATTGAGACTTCATTCCTGTACCGTGTTGTCTGGTGCAGACGTGTCCTCATCGTGCTGTGGGTTGTCATTCTGGTGCGAGTGATAATGGTGCTTTCCTCCGTGTTTGCTCACCACTTTCCCTGAATGATGTAGTCACGGACAAAAAGGGCAGAAAGGGGCAAGTCTGGCTTCTTCAGACTCGGCGTAGTACGTGAAATATATGGTGGGTGACCTTTGCATCTGTCCTGCCTGAATTTGTGAAGGTTTGTGAATCCCAACCCTGTTTTTTACCCAAAATATCTTTCTCTTTGACCAATATTACATTCGCTGTCAGAACTTGTTGGCAATGTTGGCGATAGTTAAATAGTTCCTGGTCTCTTGAATAATGAGGAATTTGGGCCTGAAACTTCCTTAAGCAAATCTAGACACAGTTGTGAAAAACGGATTTGAGTTCAGTGGGAATTTTGAATACAAAAGGAATGAATGGGGGATTCAGAGTTAAGCCTGAAGGAAATAATTGGGATATAAATTATTATCATCACATCACGACTTTCATATCTTGAAATTTGATGCAATTGCCTTTATCTCCCTTCATCAACATTTTGTGTCCAAGTGTGCTGACTCATTGATGATGGCTGAATTTACAATTTCAATTCAAAAGTTCTTTTCCAAAGCAGGTCACAATTAAGAAATGTTGCTTAAATTAAAATTCATTGGACTTTACTAGATGGAAGCAGCTTTCCTTTCATTAGTTCTTGTTTGTTACATGACCCAACAAACTATGCATACTTAATTTGCAAGAGCTCCCTGGGAGTCTTGATGTTAGCTATTTCCCTCCTTCTTTCTTACCTCTGAAGCTGTTTTACCTCAGCAAAACCAACATCTTAGCCCTTTTCAGTCTGTCTTTTTCTCTTCCCACAGCAAGCAGGATTTTTTTGAATTAAAGTTTCATCAGTCTTTGCCAGCACACCAGGATATTTCTTTTTTTATGATCTTTAATATAACTTAGGACTGGAAAACTAAGGCCCAATCATTTACTTGTACAAGTTGTTGTATCTCTGAAGACAACAGATGGACGCACCAGTTGTGGATTTGGGCAACAGGA